CTCAAATGGAAGACATAATCGGGCCATGGATGAGCAAACCATGACCTATCATAATAGCCACCCAAACCTAGGCTGCCAGCCGCATCGGTATAAGTATGAATACTGTCGAGAAGTGTCTTGGCAGAATGGAGAAATATTGAAGTACCATTCCACGCTTTCAAAAATGTCTTCCACATGTGAAGATCAATGCGAGAATCTGCAGTGAGATACAGATGGTGATGCAGTTCAGGAACGGAGTAAGCTAATTTTAATAGATATGAATAGAAGCTCCGACCGGGAACTACAACTTTACAAGCGTAACTTAAATGACCGATAAGTGAAAGCAGTTCTCGTTTGATGCATTTGCGTTTAGTAGCAAATTTTTCTACGGTCTCAATGACCCGTAAGCGTTTGTACTCAGGCAGTTTTGCTTGCATAATAACAGTGTTCAACAAAATTCCAAGATATTCCAGTTCAGTGTTGGGCCCTAAACATTTGGCTTCAGATAAGGGCACGTTAAGACGGCTGAATAATAACTTTAAGAGAACCATCTTTGGATGTGCTGAGTCTGGCTCGTGGATCGCCAGAAAGTCGTCTAATAGATGCAATATATGGCGTATGCCATAATTATTTCTTGCTATCCAACAAATCATAGATGATAATTCGTCGAAAATAGCCGGAGAACTACGTGAACCGAACATCAGTTTTGTATAAAAATAGAAATTCTCGTCCCATTGGACTCCTTGGAAAGGCCACAAGGAGGGATGCACCGGGATTTGTTTAAAGGCGTCCTTTATATCGAGTTTGGTTAAAGAGCTTCCAGCACCTAACTCCATAATCTTCTTACGGGCATCATCTAGTGTTACGTAGCTCAAACTATAATCTTCTTTGCATATGAGTGAATTGAGACTGTCGTGTAGTGGATTATTATGGGGACTAGACATGTCCACAATTAAACGAGGTTTCCCTGAATATTTTCCAAACACCAGCCCGAGTGGATTGATCAGATACACCAAGAATGGTGGCATCGAAAAGGGACCAATGAGATAACCGCTCGCCAATTCTTGTTGCAGCAACTTAGTAACTTTTTCTGGATGTTTCAAAGCACTCTGAAGATTTTTGCAAATATAGGATTCCGTCGGTAACGGTGAAATACCTGTATCATAGCCCTGAGAGAGTCCTTGTAAAAGCCTGTTTACTTTAACTGGGTCAGGATGATTCAGCAGCTCAATCCGAAGTCGATCGATGTTAATCGGAGTGGGAGCTTTCATCCCTACAAGCACAAAAATGATAGCCTACAGGTCACAAATTCTAGAGAGCCGCCTAAGCGAAGCAACATAAAGGGGGTTGCATTCAGAAGAAGAGTTACTTTAACACAAAATAATGCACCAAAACGAGTCCGCACTAATAATACCAAATATATTCTTTTGATAGTCTAGCATTTCTTAGTGTTATTGTTAGCAAGAGCCTGAGGAGCAGGTGGTACTGTAGGGCGAGCAGGCGAGGTGTTGTTGACTGCGCTCTGTAAACAATCAACACGACTATGTGCGGTTGAATGACACAGTAGACATGCATGCAAGAAATTACAAGGTTCACGTTTACATCGATTTCCGTTAACATCATTGTAATCATTGCACAATTCGTGATTACCAAAATAAACACGCGTTCTTCCACGTGAATCAGCTGTTGTACGACGAAAATTAAAAAATGGAGTACGGTTGTTGTCGTTGCTGATGACAACGACTGTGGAGCTGCGACTGAATTGCCGGTCGCAGCAAACGGACAGAAAGCTGCAGCATGCATGACAGAGTGACACAAGTTACAGGCAGTAGCACCTGCCGATGCCAACGTACAGTACAGTTCAAGGTCTAACACAGACCAGTTAAGCAAAATATTTTTACTCAAAAGAGCATCAGCCTTTTGAGCAAATTCGCAATGATAAAAATAGAAGGATGGACCTGGAAAACGTTGCGCCATAGTAATGATTTGAGTCTGATATTTGTTTAATTCCTATCTCCTTTGTTCATACACTTCGCAAAAAATGGTTGTATATTTTGACCATACCAATAAAAATTCTGGTAGCGTTAGTATCCGACGCAAACGAGGATCACCACTTGATCTCGGCAGAAGAAGTACTTTCCCTGTGTCTATGTCGAAATCTTTAGGTTGTGATCCGTCATATGGTAGCAACAGCAGCGCTAAGTTTATATAGCAGCCAGACAAGATAAGACTCTTTAGTTTAGGATTAACAAAAATGACATCACTCACGGTAGCAGCAACAGTGGTGGGTTGACCATATAGCAAATGTGATGGATCAGGATTGGTGTCCCTCGAAAACTTACGGACAGTATCTATAAATTCTTTTGCTGCTGCTGTTGCTGATGTTGGTAGATCATCTGTACGACCTGCTGCCGATGTTGTTGTTGTTGCCGCTGTTGTTACTGGTTGAGAAGTGGCATTAGTATGATTGAAATTGATAGTGGACAATTGCTGTAATAGATCATTCGCTTGTATTGGGTACATAGCTGTCGGTACTGGTGATAGCTTGTGCAGATTGCGCTTGTAAAGATCAAACAGTTGTTTTTTGGTGGAGTCCGGATCTGTTGAAATGTTGAGAGTTCTTTCTAATGCCGTGCGCAAAACCTGTTTCTCAAGTTCCTCATCTGATTCTTGTGATGGACTGGCAGCTCGTTGATGTTTTGAATCATTATGATGTGCGCATGATTTGCGACGTTTAGAACGTATTGCTGGCATGAATTCAAGGCTAACCAAGGTGTACTGTTAAAGTTAAATAAATTCCTTAAACTAACTTAAACAAGAAGTTTGCTTAAACTAAGTTTCTTCTCACTAGAAAATCAGAAATTCAGGCAAATATAAAATTTTTGTTCTTCAACGAAATTTTCGTTCCAGGACTGCTTGACTACTATAAAATGACGGTGGCGCTTGCTGCACTTCTCATGAACTAAAATTCGACACTTCCTCGAATTATCAATATGTTATATTATAACGATAACAAGCATAAACCATATTCACGTAATGTACTATTGGTAAAATATAACACTTATAAATTTGGTCAAGCGTAGACATAGTCAGTAAATGTTTATTTCTTCTCATAATGCGGAATATCACTGTTAGGTTCCATCTAACTTGTTTTAATTTTCACTTGTATGTACAAATGTTTTATTAAGAAAGCAAGGGCACTCCTCTGTACAGTATATGCCTGTGTATATATAGGCGAGAAAGAAAGGAAAAAAGAACGTAACAGAAAACATGATATAATATAAA